CATCAATGAATTAATAACAATAATAACAATATCAAATTAAGAATTATTCATAACCTTAATAAAAAAATATTGGAAATGTATCAGTTGGTTTGAGTATGATAACCCTCTTTTATGGTTTTTATAAATGCTCATTACTTGCTGATGAATGATTTTTTTCTGGTGAAAGAAAAACTTCTGCTTTTACTGTACATATAATGAACGTGTGAAGAATGACTGAATCAGTGTCATTTACACAGATAATCCCAACCAAAAATAAAAAAGAGACATTTACTGTAAATGGCAACATGGAAAACCTGTTTGGTATTCCAGGAAGTCAGGCTTATTCTAAATGTAAAAGTGCCACACCACACCTGTGTTTATCAGTGGTTGTTTTGTAAAAATGAAACAGCAAGGCAAATGAAATATCAATGATTTAAATATAATACAGAGTGTCACACATGCATAATGAAATACTACATACATGCCACTGGTATGACATGTTCTACTGAGAGGAGAAGCCAAAACATAATGGCAAGTACGCTTTTAAATATTTTGTTATTCAAAAATGCACCAACAATCTCAAGCAAGACATGACCTTGGTTGACTGTGTGATGCAGTGTTTTCACTTTCAAAAGTAGTTGAAAAATGACCTCAAACAGGGTGCAGCCCTCACAGAAACTTGAAGATCAAGAAGAATAGGATATAATATAAATTCTCACTGGTTGTGCATCATAGGTTGTTGACGCAGTCACTTGAAAGACAAAGTAGAATCGAAGCAGAGAAATTTTAACAGTGGTTCCAACCTGATCTCATTTTTAAGATCATGGAAGGTGAGTTAAGATCAACTATCTTATCTATTCTGTGTGGGTCTATGTTTCATGTTATGTCAACTCAAAACAATTTTGAGTTGAACACAATAGAGTAAAATAATAATAATGGCAGCATGATGTGATGTTTGGACAATATCTTCATACTTTAACTGAAGGTATTTGCAAAAAAATCACTAACAGTGCTTTTTGTTTGTGTTCATATTCAATGTACCTGTAAAAAATGTCACTGCTAACATTTTGAAAACTATAAAATACATGGTTATAAGATTGCGGAAAACACAGTCCACTTGAGGATAAGAAGTTTTAGAGTAAAAGTAGTAGATGAATAACAACAACAAAAAAATAAACACCCTCAGTGTGTTGCTGTGTGTGTGTGTGTGTGTGTGTGTGTGTGTGTGTGTGTTTCTCTCTCTCACTTTGCATGTCTCCACAGGATCAACAAACCAGTTCTCACAGATGAGTGGTGAAGCAGCTGAAGTTGATCCAGACACTGGAGGAGATGAGGAGCAGCACAACAGCAGTGAGTTAGATGCTGGAGAAGCTATTAAGCACAATTAAATCCCATGATTCATTCTGGCAGTTATACTTAAAGGAGATTAGAAACCTCTTTTCATAGCCTATTAACCAGGAAATACTTGAATTCTCTCCAATGAAATACAGTAATATACAATATTGCAAAGAATATGGACAACTGTCAACAAGTGCAGCAGATGTTTTATCTCACTTACACTTTTTTCAACCAGATGACATGTTATGTTATCTCAATTAGCAGTAATAGAAGCTAACTTAAAAGTACTGTCCATCTTTAGTGTGATTTCTGACTGTGTGCATAAAGTATATTTCTATAATTCACACCTATACCACAGTGTAATCAGTAAGCAATACACAATAACAAGCAAAACAAATAATGTTGGTCCATTATCATTATTCTTTTCCAGGGTCGGACTTGAGGATCGTTCTACTGGGAAAAACTGGAGCTGGGAAAAGCAGTTTGTGCAACACCATATTTAAAGAAGATTTGTTCCAGATAAGCCACACTGCAAACTCTGAAACAACAAAATGCCAGAGCGAAACCAAATCTGTTAAAAAAAGAAGAATCACTTTGATCGACACTCCTGGTTTCTTTGACCCAGACAGATCTGAGGAGGAGCTGAAGTCTGAGATAGTGAGCTGTATCACAGAGTGCGCTCCTGGGCCTCATGTTTTTCTCATTGTGCTCAAAGTGGAGAAATTCTCAGAGCAAGAGAACCAGGTTATCGATAAAATAAAAGAGTGTTTTACTGAGGAAGCTTTCAAACATGCTGTAGTTGTCTTCACTCATGGTGAACAGCTTCCTGAAGGAATGAAGATTGAGGAATTTGTCCGTCAGAATAGGAATCTGAATGATCTGGTGCAGAAGTGCGGTGGTCGCTGCCACGTGGTTGATAATAAATACTGGAAGAACAAATGTTGGAGGAAATATAGAAACAACAAGCGCCAGGTGACACAGCTACTCAACACAATAAAAGCGATGGTGGACAAAGGAGAATACTACACCAATGACATGCTACGAGTGGTGGAGAGAAAAATACAAGAAGTGGTGAAGTCCATCAGACAGTTATTCGCAAACAAACCATGGAAAGAAATCAGAGAGAAGGCAAAGAGAATTATCTCAAATCTTCTCAAGAAAATAGTTGGTGTTACCACAGGAGTGCTGTTAGGGGCTTTGCTTGGTGTGCCAGCGATGGTTTTAGCTGTTGCCGAAGCCTTGATGGAGATGAAAACAATACCAGTGGAAGCAGTAGTGGCAGTAGCAGTAGCTCCAGTAGCTGGAGTTGGATTAGGTGTAGCTGCAGGAGTCGCTGCAGCAGCAGGAGCAGTAGTAGGAGGTCGTATTGGATATGATGAAGCTGATCAAGCAGACTCAGTTGGAGAGGCAGCAGAGAACACAGCTACTGCTGTCATTGACAAATTACTGAATAACAGGCCAAAGCAAAGCGAGGAGAAATGATCTCTTCTTTAACAATGTTGAAACACATGGGCTTCATTTGCTCTTTTATTATGGCTTCTAATTCCTGTCTAAAAGACTTTTGGGGCTCCTACTTGAGAAAGTCTTTTACATTTTTAGAAACTGTTGTTGATATTTTAGAAATCTCTCATAGTGCTCATCTACGGCAAAAATCTATTTAAACTGCACAGCAAAAAGATTCTAACACCTACTAAATAGACTTTAGCAACATATGCATCCAGGATCAAAAACAAAGTGAGGAGGAGAAACAAATGCAGAAATACAGTAGGTTGCTGCGTCACTTCCTGCTCAATGTGACAACATCCTACTGCAGTGCAGTTATTCTAGACTTCTATTTGCAATCTCTCAAGCGTTACTGATTTATCTGAATATCTGGCACTGACTGGTGTTCTTTGGACTGTCAGCTTTCCTATTTCTGAAATGTTTTTTTTATGTTTTTTTTAGTGCTTTCCCTCTTTATGTCAGTGATATCAGATTGATTTTATGATTCGCATTAAATTCTTGTTACAATAAAACCTCTCATTTGTTGACATTTCCTTTTTTTCAAAATGAAAAATGCAAATAGATTTATTGTGTAATAATTCTACAACAGATACTTCATCACTTTCAGACGTTTGACTTGAGTCAGAAAAACAAATCATGAGCAGTGTGCACGCAAGTTCAATCTGAGAATAGTGTGGGTATGAAATCAAGATGGCCTTCAATTATCACAAAAACAATTTTGAAAAGTTGTACATGAATCTAACTCTTGGGCATGTGAAGTGTAATGTGTGTGGTTTCTTTGAAATGTCTTTTTAAAATAATAAATGAACAGCTGGACCTATATTGACACTGAAGCGGTTTGTAAGGACATGGTGTGTTTCAAGATTTTGAAATGGGGATTTTGAAAATACTAAGAAATTCCACAACAGTCACCCTAACATTGGGAAATTACATTGTTTCTTTGTAATGTGAAATGTAAACTCAATATGATGAATGAAAATACTGGAAGTTCATTGTAAGTATAAGCCATTAAAATAAGAGGTTCATGTTTCTCACACAAAGTGAAACCTTCTGTCTTTAGATACGGGATGGAACATCTTTGTGTCTGACTGTGGTTACACCCAATGAACCATGGCCTTCATCATGCACGTGTATGAAATCATGTACAACACACTTTTGTGGCTGCTCCTATCACCCTGCTTCCAGTAAAGAGGTGAAACATGCACCAATAATGAGGAAACAAACATTCTCACACACAGGTCCTTTCCTTCTGACTGCCACTCTGCAGATATTCATTTTTTTAACCCATGGAGAGTAAGTTCATTTAATTCCCTTATTGTAGCTGTCAGCAGAAGACAGAAAGCAAAATGAAACTTTTGGCTCTACATTTTGAAAAATGTGGCAAATTAATCATGGTTATGTTTGGGCAACAACAGTCCACTTGGGTGAGGTTAGGTAAAATTCATCTGTGTGTGTGTGTGTGTGTGTGTGTGTGTTTGTGTGTGCGTGTGTGTGTGTTTCTCTCTCTCGCTTTGCACTTCTCCACAGGATCAACGAACCAGTTCTAAAGATGAGTGGTGAAGCAGCTGAAGTTGATCCAGACACTGAAGGAGATGAGGAACAAGAGTGAACAGCAGTGGGTTAGACCCTAGAGAAGTTATTAAGCACAATTAAATCCCACCATTCATTCTGGCAATTGCACTTAAAGGACATTTAAAACGTGTTTTCATAGCCTATTAACCAGGAAATAACTTACTTGGACAGTTATCAACAAGTGAACTGGATGTTTTATCTCTCTTTTATCTCTCTTCACACTTTTACACTAAGTGTGTCTACCAGGTGCTGCCCATATTTACCCACATTGTCTGGTTAAAACAAAGAAACGATTATTTTACAAAGCTCCAAATAATAAGCCAAGTTAAAGCCAAACATTTTACATGACCTCATTTACTAGTTATAGAAGGTAACTTAAAAATATTGTCCCTCTTTATTTTGATTTCTAACTAATAAGTGCACAAAGAATATTTCTAGAACTCACACATACTGTATGTCACAGTGTAATCTGCGTAACAATACACAATAACAAGCAAAAGAAATAATATAGGTTCAAAATCATTCTTTTCTAGAGTCAGACACGAAGATTGTCCTACTGGGAAAAACTGGAGCTGGGAAAAGCAGTTTGTGCAACACATTATTTGGAGATGTGTTCAAGATAAACCACACTCCAAACTCTGAAACAACAAAATGTCAGAGCAAAACCAAAACTGTCAATGTGAGAAGAATAACTTTGATTGACACTCCTGGTTTCTTTGACCCAGACAGATCTGAGGAGAAGCTGAAGCCTGAGATAGCGAGGTGTATCACAGAGTGCGCTCCTGGGCCTCATGCTTTTCTCATTCTGCTTAAAGTGGAGAAATTCTCAGAGCAAGAGCAGGATGTCATTGACCAAATAAACAAATTATTCTCTGAGGAAGCTTTCAAACATGCTGTAGTTGTCTTTTTCAAAGAGAATAAAGGTCTGAGTGATATGATGCAAAGAAGAAGTTCGGCGGTCAATGCCATGTCGTTGATAATAAGTACTGAAAGGACAACCAGCAGGATGAATACAGGACCAATGAAATCCAGGTGGCAGAGCTGCTCAACACAATAAAAGTGATGGTGGACAAAGGAGGCAACTACACCATTGGGATGCTACTAGCAGTGGAGACAAAAATACAACAAGAGGAGGAGGACATCAGATAGTCGTCACCAGACATGTCAAAGGAAAAAATAAGAGAGAAGGCAAAGGTCAATGTCTCAAATCCTTTTAAGACAATAGTTGGTGTTACCACAGGAACACTTTTGGGAGCTTTGCTTGGTGTGCCAACGATGAGTTTATCAGTTATTACATTATTTCCAGGACCAGTAGCATTGGCAGGAGGTGTAGTTACATTAGGTGTATGTGCAGGAGCTGCTGCAGCAGGAGCACTAGTAGGAGGTTATATAGGATCTGATGAAGCTGATGAAGCTGATGAAGCAGGCTCAGTCAAGGAGGCCGCAGAGACCACAGCTAAGACTCTCCCTAAAAAAGTTAATGAGTGGATAAAGAAGAAAAAGTCCCCCCTCTTAAAAACAGTTAAAACACTGAATGCATTTGGGCTTTTATTACGTGTTAACTATTGAAAACACAATTTCTATCAAAAAAAAAAAAAAAAACAACCTTAGGGCTGTCCTACTCGAAAAAGTTCCTGATACTTTAAGCAACCGTCTTTAAGTTTTTGAAATCCCTCAGAGTGCTCATCTAAGGCAAAAATCAATTTAAATTGCAAAGCAAGAAGATTACAGCAGGGGGCTACCAACTGTACAGGAAATGTAGAATTCTAACACCTACTAAAGGGACTTTAATCACATATGCAAACAATGCACATTGGCCTTTGGGAAAACTGGCACTTTTCCAGACGGGCCTTGACAATAATTGGACCGGTGGACTTATTTGGGGAGAAAAAAAAAACATCAGAGAGACAGAAAGAGAGTAAGAGGGAGAGAGATGTAGCTTGGCCACAAAAAAACAAACGTGAGACTCAAAAGTCAATTTAGCAAATCAATTTAGAGAACATAGATAATCAAGCCACAGGTGAAGGGAACCTGCCGACATGGTTATATCTGTATTTTCAAACACAATGCATAGGAATAAAAGTAGCAATAAAGTTTAAGATTTTCAGGCCTACCTTCAGGTCTTCTCTGCAAGTCTCCAAAAGGAATCGCTTCCTGGGTCCATGTCTGCTTCCTCTGCAATGGCTGTCACAAGTCAGGAGTCAAGTAGCTAGCGAGTCAGAAGGCTAAACAACCGGACTGAAAGATGCTAACTTTAGCAACTAGCCAACTACCTTGCGAAGGAAACTCTGCTTATCTTTCTCAAATTCAATTAAGTGTGTATTTTCACACGGTTGAAAAGGGAATTGAATCACGGCAGCGATACACTGTTGGCCTACAGGGCCGACATTAGTGCGCAATAGAGTGCGACATAATTGCCTACCTGCTGTACACCTGCATCAGGGTACCTGCCGGTTTCATCCGGTAACTTTTGGAAGAAACCAATAGGGAAAGGGGGGGCGAGACTTTTGAGGTATAATCTATGACATAAGTAGAAGAATATATTTGTCTCATAATAAAAATATTCATAACCAGATTTTATGAAATATAATAGCAATAAAATATAATATAAAATAAAATAAAAACATTAAAAAATCCAGATGTTTAAAATCTGGTGGG